TTATAAGTTCCTTCACATAGATTCTTTGCAGAGCTTCGGTGCGATACGATACTATGCACTTATTGGGAGTTTCTGTTAATGTATTTGACGAGCAGGTAGCCATTGTGTGGCAAGTTGGTAGTTTACCTATGGATTGCAATAGGTGAGGCTTTCCTGTCTATTTTTCTATGAACAGTCTCGTTTCCGGCATTTCTTTTCACGTCATAGTGATTTTTCGCAATTTCCTTCAAAATTCTTATGCTTTCGAGCAAAAGTGTTTCATCTAAAGCGAAGAAATTGAAAGCAAATTATGCCAGCGCAGTGAAAACGTCTTCATCTACACATGAGCCAAGTGTTACTCTCATGCCCATAGTCTTTGCTATCAAAATTTTAAGACTTGTGGCTATACCAAAACCACTGGGCGGAGTTTTGGTGATCGGATCGAATGAAGTCATATACTTGAACCAATCTGTGCCTCCTTGCGGAATTAGTCTGAACAGCTGTTACGACAATTTTACGAAGTTTCCTTTGAAAGTAAGCTCTCCATGTAGTATGCTTCTTGTCCTAATGCTTTACACCTAAAGGATCTGAAACATTTGTCTATGACTCTGGATGCTGGCGCAGCGGAGTGGATTGGTAGTAATCATGTTGCGTTGGGTACAATGGACGGCAGGTTGTTCATCCTCACTCTTCTCACGGATTCTTCAGAAACTGTCAGATCTCTCGATATAGAGCACGTTTTCGGTAAGTTGCAATGTTATCGACAATGTATAGAGATTTCGATTCGTAACTGCAGATACATCTATTGCTTATTGCATGAACTTATGTTCTCCTGGCCGTCTCTTCATCGGTTCTCGGCTTGGTGATTCGCAGCTTCTGGAATTCATTGTGGAAAAAGAGGAAATAAGTAATCTCCGTATTTTACCTGCAAAAGTAGCAATTAGCTTGCCTGGTTTTAGAAGAGGAATCCTCTCCGGAACCGAAGAAGGCTAAAGTTGAGGAGAAGATAAACGCGGATGAGGATGATCTTGAACTTTACGGCGAACAGATCATTGAACAAGTGGTGGGTCAATTCTGCGGTCTTTCGCCATTGTTATCATTTTTACTTATGGCAACAGTCGTGAATAATGGATTGTCAGCTTTTGCATCTACTCAAGCGGTCCATCATAGTAGAAAATTTCTCAAAAAGTCCCTCACTTTTCTCCCGGGAACCTTGAGCAAATTACCTGGACGAATTCTCTTGTATACGTGATAAATTGAGCACTCTCACGCGTTTGGAAGCCAGTGGCTGAGAATGGGTGTGCTCGTTTCGACCACCAACATTCAGCTGAGAGATTCTTGCTTATCAACATTGATTAGAATATAAGATATTAAAACAACGCTACTTTCATCTTATCTGATTGCTACAGCAATTTAATTGACATTTATAGCAATAAAGCTGTTATCTGTGAGTCATTACAGGCAACAGTCAAAGAGAAATACAAAGAGAAACTCATATTTTCTGAACTCGATCGCTTGACGAACATCGGTCCCATAAAAGCGATCACCGCTGGTGGTGCCCATGGAGTCAGCCCCATTTTGCTGGAGCAAGAAAGAACAGATCCTATCTTTGATATTGTGGGTTTTACGAAATTCGTCAAATAAGGTCAATTCCGATTTTTCTAGATTGTTGCTTCCGGACATACAGTCAATGGTTCAATCTGTGTATTGCAAAGGACTGTCCGACCCGACATAATCACCAGCAGCTTGTTTGTTTTGACATTTTTCGCTTCTCCTTTTCCTGCTAAAAATTTTTTTATTGTAACTCTTCAGTCTGCAAGACGCTCAGCAACTTTGGGCAGTTGGCAGGAGGGAGGACGATTCTCACAAGTATGACTAGAATCTGTTGCTAGTGCTCAGATTATACGATACCATCGTGATCACTTTTCAACTCCAGATATCTCATCGTATCCCGCACACGATCTTCTTTGATTCTGGAGTTAGGCGAAGATATGGTCGAGTTGGAGGAGCCGTTGTTCCTTTCGGACGAACCTACCGTAGCAGCGGGAGAGCTAGCAGATGGTGGTCTTGCTGTTCAAGTATGTTCAATTGGTTTATCTACTGCAACCTTCCCGCGTCGAAATCATAATTACATTCAAAGTGTGATGAAGTAATATAAGCATGTAATACTGTTTTTTATCAGGTCTGACGCTTTTTGAGTTTATCATTGTTATCTACATTCTGTTTATATTGTCTCATTCGCTAATTAGACTTCCTAAGAAGTGTTTAGGTGACTTCTTTACGTGTAGCTCTCGTGGCAGAAGAGAAACAACTCCAGCAGATTGATTTGGACTCCAACTTCCCCGTTGTTGCTGCATCAATAGTTGATCCATATGTGGCATTGCTGACTCAAAACGGTCGATTGATGTTGTTCCATCTCGTGTTGAACCCTACTGTGCACCTACAGGTAACACCAGACATGATGTTTGGCGTTGAAAGTCTGACTTTTATTTAGGAAATTGACATATCGAACACCGCTTTTGCGGAGAAAACAGTCCACCACCGGGCACCTTTGACAGCGCTCTCAATTTATCGCGATATGAGTGGGCTCATGGTCTGCTCACAAGATGACGCTAGCA